TTCTCTTTCCCAAGGAAACCATCTGTGCTGGGAGAGGATGGCCACGAGAGGGCACACTCCAAAGGCTTTTTGCTCTATGCAAGGCAACGTCCCTGCAAACCCCCCTTCTTTTTTTATACCTGATCGGATCCTGAATCCCAGGGAACTTTCTGCTTATCTGCAGTTTCTCTGACTGGAGCTCTTGTGTCTCCCTTCAGGTTTAGTTAAAAGGTATATTCCCTGGAGGGGAAAACTGCAGGGAAAATAGTGCAGCAGAAGGGAGCAGGCAAAGGGGGCAAAGATGAAGCTGACAAACTGCTGGGTGCTTCAGCTCGGGAAACCTAGAGACATCAAAATGTTTTTTTTTTTATTTTTTTTTTACAAGATATTGAGAAATGTGACCATGAATCATCAGTTGAGCTGATTTTCCCACATCTTTTTTTAATGTAGTCTCCTTGGCTTTTAGCAAACAAGCCTTTTTTTTCCCCTTGATTTTGTTTTTCTTGCTCTGGCATACTTTATCGAAGATTCCAAGCTGATCAAATGAAAGTAAGTTACTTCCAGAAGAAGAAAGCCATTCTGCATTAATCTATGTCTTTGTAGCAAAATGTGAGACTCCTCTGAGGTTGGTTGGTCTGGGAAGAACTTGAGAAAGCCCAGACAAATCTGAGAAGGTGGGAACCAGTCTCGAAAAAGACACCTGAGAGAGACACAGAAATACTCTGTGCATGCATCTCTGTGTATAGTCATGCTCTGTATGCGGACGCAGCTGGGTATAGAGGGATATGCATCTGCCCAGATGTGTGTGTAGGTGCATGTACCTCCATATGTATGGGTATGCCAAGGCTTGCACACTTATGTACAGATACATCTGTACTTGCAGTGCTGTAATGTGGAGAGTTTCCTGCATATAAATAGGTGCAATAGGTGCCTGCCTGCCTGCCTGTGTGTGCAAAACATGTTTTTACACAACGTGTGTGTAAATTTGTGCATGGATTCATACTGAGGAAATCTTATATCTCGATAGGTCTGTATGCATAGGAAAAGTCAGTCCTGTTGCATTAAACAGAGCTGTATAAAAGATAGTTAAGTCTACTGGAAGCAATTGCAAGTTCTTGCTATTCAGTTCAGTGTGCTCGGCATTTGGGCCCTACTGCACAGAAATTAGACATTCTGGTGAAAGAGAGTGGCAGCTTCTGATCCACTTTTTGTTAGAATTTAAGAAATGTATTATGAGTTTGCACAAAGAAATTACTTTCTTTTGTGAAAAGCAAAGACTCAATATTACTTTAACCTTTAAATACATTTCTAGTGCAACTGACCCTAAACTTTCTTTGAGCTGTTTTAGATGTAAATGCAGAGGCAAGTAACAAAAAGCCAACCAGACAAACACCTTTTTTGTTTTTAAAATATTTAAAGCCA